AAAATAAAATATGTAATTTATTGTTTTTTTCAAAAATTCTCACCTGTATAACCCATAATAAAAAGTAAGGCCTGAAATCTAGCTATGTACAATTTAAGATATTTGTGTCAAAAATTTTTACAAAGCTTGGTTTCTGGTTACATGAGGCAACAGTGCCACCTTTAGTTACATTTCAATATCTAAGTTTCAGTAAAACTTGCTTACGAAGACAGCTGACTTTCGCTTAAGGAAATAGAAATTGGAGGACCTTGAGCCAGTAGTACTTAGTGATATCCTTGAAATTAGCAATGTCGTTATTTTAAAGTCCTTTTGCTAATATATTACATTTTAGTGTTACTGGACTGCAACTTTGAGGATCTAATCTCTTTGCAAAAACACATATAAACTTTGTTTATCATTCTCAATTCAAGGTCTTTGATGAAACAAAACATTATTAAATACCATATATGTATATATATTCCTGTTTATATTTACCCAGTGTGATTATGTTAGGCAAACGTACACTTTGTCCTAAACAAGTATTCTAGTTTAGAAATTGTGTTAATGTTCAAATCCCAACCAGTTTTTAATTCTTGTATTTATAAATCTAAGCACTGAATTTTAATCATAAATTCAAAATTACATTTCTGTAATTTTTATAAGTTGCATTATCCACTGAAGATTTCTGTCTAGTGTATTCTGGGTACATGTAAGATGACGTAAGAGGAAACCGAAAGGCATAATGCTGAAGATTTTTATGAATTCATTTTATCAAAAGATACTCCCTGAGCATTTCCTCTCTGCAAGAGATATGTTAGTTTATTCCAATAGTTGTTTCCTCTACAGTTCTGCCAGCTACATGAATGTACAGTGTGGGGGCTGCATTTTTCATAATTTTTGAATTAGTAGTTTTTAAAGCTGTAGATTCCTCACCCCCATATCAGATTAAGGATTTGGAATCTCTGGGGTCTGGGCTTTGAGATCTACATTTTACAGGCTCCCTGGGTGATTTATACATTCATCAAGACTGAATCTGTGTGTTACAGTAAGCACAGCATTACTGGTACCAGAGTTGTCTGGCAGCCCAAGCTGAAAAGAATGAGTTCTTCTACTCCAGTTTTTTATTTTATTTTATTTTTTATTTTATTTTTTGGGGGGAAGGTCAGCCCTGAGCTAACATCGGCCAATCCTCCTCTTTTTGCTGAGGAAGACTGGCCCTGAGCTAACATCCATGCTCATCTTCCTCTATTTTATATGTGGGACGCTTACCACAGCATGGCTTGCCAAGTGGTGCCATGTCTGCACCCGGGATCTGAAACAGTGAACCTTCGGCTGCCGAATCGGATGTGCGAACTTAACCATTGCACCACCGGGCCGGCCCCCTACTCCAGTTTTTATGAGGTTCTTTTTCTCCTAGTACTGGCCACAAGTGAGACTCTAAAATGCACTTAACTACTGACTCTGCTGGCATTGAGATCTCTGGGACTTGGATTTTATTGGAGCAAGAAGCTGAGATGGCGCCTGCGGCCACTGAGACTGGTTGAAGCCCAGTTACCTCACACTGGGCTTAACATGAGGGTGTGGTACCGTACCATCTGTGTGAAGCAGGGCAGCATGAGGAGGCTCTGAGAGGAAGCTTCACTGCCGTGCAAGTAATGTTTCTTCAACTTCAAAGTTTTTGGCTGACCAATGATACCAAAAAACCAAGGAGAAAATGTGTCCTCTGCAGCCTTTCTTACTGTTTATCCTGGGTTTTTGATAAAAGATGATTTTACTGTGTGGCTTCCTATAAAAATCTTTGTTTTCAACTCTTCTTTCTTCTTCTCTTGATCCAGTTTCTATAACTCATCATCTCTACCCTTACGTCCTGTCCTTCCTCTTATTTAAATAACCTTCTTCTCTTTCTGTGGTCTCATTTTTCTCACTTTTCTGCTCACAAGTTAAATCAGTCCATTTTTGACTTGTCATACTCATTGCACTCAAGAGCTGAGCTTCTTAGAATGGAATCTCACCTTCCTCCACAGAGCTTTTTGTAATTCCATGCTCTTATGGCAAGTTCTCCAGGAACCGTGAGCGACCTGGCCTCTGTGAATTCTTTGTTCTCTCAGCACTCTGCCCCAGACAAACAACAGGCAGAGGTAATACACGAGGTTCAGATAATCAAACGAATCCAGGGGGACATCAGTGAAAATGGCAGAGTGAGGACTATGAAAATTAGCTTCTCCATAAAAACAATGAAAAAGCTGGCAGAAATGATCAGAATCAACTTTTTTGGAACTCTGGAAATTAGCAAAGGCTGTATTCAAGAAAAATATCCAAATCTCTTTAAAAACAGTGAGGTACATGTCATGTTAACTTGCCCTAGTCGCATCCACTGGTCTCCAGCTCGGTAGTAACCTTGAAAAATAATATCCTCTATTTCTGATGCTGGTTGGCAGCCATCAGAAAGAGTAAAATTAAACTGGGTCTGTTTTAAAGTCTCATTCCCAAAGACTTATTATTATTTGACTTGTCTGGTGGTATCCTGGAAGGCCTCAATTACAAGGCTGACTCAAAACCACCTCAGTTACAAGCCTTCTTCCCAGGAAGGAAGATAATCAATTGAGATTACCCAGTCTGAGGAACATTTTAAAAAATGAAGGAATGAAGAAAAGGGAACAGGAACAAATCCTCAGAGACTTGTGGAACACAATCATGCATACCAACATATGCATAATGGGAATCTTAGAAGGAGAGGAGAGAAAGTTGTAGAATGGCTATTTGAAGAGATAATGGCTGAAAATGTCCAAAATTTGATGAAAAACATCAATTGGAAATTCAGCTACCTAAACACACTCCAAATAGGATGAACTCAAAAAAATCCATAGGTAGACACAGTATAATCAAACTATCTAAAGACAAAGATAAAGAATCCAGAAAGCTGCAATAGAGAAATGATTTGTCGTATGTAAGTGATCCTCAGTAAGACTAGCAGCAGATTTTTTGTCAAAAACTGTAGAGACCAGAAACCATTGGATAAGATTTTCAGAGCTGAAAAAAAAATTTAAAAAGAATTCTATATCCAGAAAAACTATCCTTCAAAAATAAAGGAAAAATTAAGGCATTCTCAGAAAAACAAAAACTGAGAAAATTTGCCACTGACAAACATGCCCTACAAGAAATCTTCAGGCTAAAACAAAAGGACACTAGGCAGTAGCTTGAATCCATATCAAGAAATTAAGTGCACCAGTAAAGGTAACTACAGAGATAAATAGAAAACTCAATATGTATGCATTTCTTGTGTGTAAATCTGATTTTTCTCCTATCCATATCAAAAGACAATAGCATAAAGGGATAATTATAAATCTGTGTTAATGGACACAAATGCAAAAGATGAAATTTGTGATAAAAACAGCATAAAGGGGGGACAGAACTATAGAAAAGCAAAGATTTTGTATGCTACAGAAATTAAATTGGTTTTAATCCAAACTAGATAGTTATAAATTAAGGCATTAATTGTAATCACCAGGGAAACCACAAAGAAAATAACTCAAAAACGTATAGCAAACAAACACAACACAATGGAATTAAAATAGTACAGTGGTAAATATTTATTTAACACAAAAGAGGGCAGTAATAGAAGAATAGAAGAAAATAAAAGATATGACACATAGGAAAAGAAATAATAAAAAAGCAGACATAACTGCTACTGTGCTGGTAATGACATTAAATGTGAATTGAATAAACCCCCTGGTTAACGGACAGAGACTGGCTGAATGGGGAACAAAAATGTGATCTAACTATGTGTTGTCTACAAGAGACACACTTCAGTTTCAAAGATATAGATGGTTTGAAAACCAAAAGTTGGAAAAAAAACAATACCATACAAACAGTAGCCAAAATAAACCTGGAGTTACCATATTAATACCAGAAAAAATAGACTTTAATACAGAAAACATTTGCCAGAGACAAAGAAGAATATTTTACAAGAGTAAAAGAGTCAATCCAATTATAAACATATATTAACCTAAAAACAGAGCTCCAAATACATGAAACAAAAACTGACAGAACTTCAGGTAGAAATAGACGATTAAACATTAATATTTGGAAATTTAATACTGCACTTGTAATAATAAATAGAATAACTAGCCAGAAAATCAAAAGGAAATGGAAAACTTGAATAACACTATAAGCCAACTTGACCTAACAGATATCTATAGAACACTTTATTCAACAATAGCAGAAAACACATTCTTCTCAAGTACATTTGGAACATTATGTAGGATAGACTATATGTAAAGCAATAAAACAAGTCCAAATAAGTGTGAAAGGATGGAACTCATACAAAGTATTTTTTCTGATTAGAATGGAAGGAAATAAGGAATCCTTAACAAATAAATTTGGGAAATACACAAACATATCCAACACACTCTTAACTTATGGGTCAAAGAACAAATCATAAGGGAAATTAAGAAATATTTAGAGATGAATGAAACAGAAAATGCAGCATACCAAAACTTATGGGATGCAGTGAAAGCAGTGCTGAGGGAAATTAATAGCTATAAATGCTTACATTTAAAAAGAAGGAAGATCTCAGTAACTTAATGTTCCACCTTAGAAAATTAGAAAAAGAAGAGCCTACTAAGACCAAAGCACATAGAAGGAAGGGAATAATAAATATTAAAGCAGAGATAAATGAATCCAGTATCGTACTGGAGATACAAGCCAAGGCAATTAAGCAAGAAAATTAACTGAAATCATCCAGATTGGAAATGAATTAGTGGTGATATTTGCATAACTTTATGAATATACCAAAACACAATAATTTGCACACTTCAATGGTGAGTTTATGGTATGCGAATTATTTCTCAATTTTATAAAAGGAAGTCACACAAATCTTTATGAAAGGAATGTTTAAAAAAAGAAAAGAAATCCAAACCCCTTTGACTAACACTTTTTCTGACTCGCTTCCTCTGTTCCTACCGGACATGATATTATTGTTATATTATGACTCACTGGTTTCCATTTTCATCTCTCTCTAGCTCATGGAGAAAAACATGAGGAATTAATTACCTTGGGAAGCCCAGATTCCCATGCTATCAGTGAGGGGCAAAAATCTTCAGGAACTTCCAAAACAACAAGAAAAGGCAAAGAAAAGTCATCTGAGAAAGAAAAGACAGCCAAAGAAAAACAAGCACCTCGCTTTGAGCCTCAGGTGAGTGTGGTACTTTTTCTTATTGAAGTCACTTAATACATATAGGTCCATTGGGTCCCTACTTGCCCATCTCTCCTGAGGACAAAACTGAAAAATTCTATCTCCCTCATTCCAGCAACCATCTAGATAAGGACATTTCTTGTATACTGTCTGCAGGCTGCCTTCCCTAGTTTAGTATCAAAAAGCAATAGTTGAACTTTTAGTATGTAATCTAATGGAAGAGACTGAAGGTTAACAGAGAGTTTTAATGTTGGATACTGTATGTGCAGTATTAGAAAGAACTGGTACCGGGGTTGGTCAAGCGGCATAGTGGTTACGTTCACACACTCCACTTCAGCAGCCTGGGGTTTGTGCGTTTGGATCCTGGGCATGGACCTACACACCACTCATCAAGCCATGCTGTGGTGGCATCCCACATTACAAAATAGAGGAAGATTGGCACAGATGTTAGTTCAGCGACAATCTTCCTCAAGAAAAAAAGAGGAAGAATGGCAACAGATACTAGCTCAAGGCCAACCTTCCTCACCAAAAAAGGAAAAGAGAAAGAATAGGTACCTATTCCAGCCTCTTCCTAGAGGAGTCAAATCCTGAACCGAGTCAATCAGCAAACATATCATAAGGCAAAAACCAACACAATCTGGTTTTTTTTTTGAAGCTCTAAAGTATGAGAGATGAGGCTGGAGAAGTAAGTGAAAGTGAGATGGAGGAGGGCCTTTAAGCCTCATTAGAAGGCTTGGATTCTATGTACAGCCCAGAGGTCATGATTCCAAATTCCTTCATGGTCACTTAGGTAATTACAATGATTAGAGGTAAGGAAGAGGATGTAGGTGGCAAATTTGAGGAATGTAAGCACAGGCTTAAAGATACTCAAATTCAAGTTATTTAAAAACACTAAACTGAGCGGCCAGCCTGGTGGCATAGTGGTTAAGTTCATGCACTCTGCTTATGCAGCCCAGGGTTTGCAGGTTCAGATCCCAGAGCTGGACCTACACACCACTCATCAAGCCATGCTGTGGTGATGTCCCACGTACAAAATAGAAGGAGATTGGCACAGATGTTAGCTCAGCGACAGTCTTCTTCAAGCAAAAAGAGGAAGATTGGCAAGAGATGTTAGCTCAGGGCCAATCTTCCTCACCAAAAAATAAAAAATAACGCTAAACTTGTGCCAGCCCTGATGGCTTAGTGGTTAAAGTTTGGCACTCACTGCTTCAGTGCCCTGGGTTCACTTCCCAGTCACAGAACCACACCACCCATCTGTCAGTAGCCATGCTTTGGTGGGCTCACAAAGAAAAACTAGAATGACTTACAACTAGGATATATAACTATGTAGTGGGACTTTGGGGAGGTAAAAAAAAAAAGAAGAGGAAGATTGGCAACAGACTTTAGCTCAGGGTGAATCTTCCCCTCCAAAAAAAAAAACAAAACGGAGAACGTTTAAGGAAATAAAACCACTAAACTCAAAACAAAATGCCTATGAGGACAACTTGTTCCCACCATTTGTGATCGCCTCTTAGGCTAAGCAGGGCTGGGATGTGGGGGGTTTAAGAAGTGTATTGACGTGATTAGATTTACATTTCAGATACCCCGATGGCTTTTAAGGGTATGAATTTAATGGGGAAAAGACTAGAAATGGGGAAAACACTCAAGAACTTGCAGCAGAAGTCCAGGCAAAAGAGCATGTGCTTACTAGGTATAACTCAAAAGAAAGGAAGAAGAGACAAATAAAGAACTGTCTAGGAAACAAACGAGGTAGGTGGTTATCAGTCTCGAGTGGGTGGTAAGGAACAAGAAGGAACAAAGGATATCTTTCAGGCTTGCAGCTGGATTAACTGAATAGGATGTTGGTACCACTACTAAAGGACAATAAAGGAAAATTAACAAATTAGGAGAAGAGATGATGATCAATGATCCCAGACTTGGGTAAAGGAAAAACCTGTCCACTTGCATTTCCAGGATTTAATTTTGTAGTTGGGGTCTACCCGTGAAAACACTGTGAAGTAAATAAGCTTCACCTGACTTGCTGGGGTTGGGATGGACCTGATGGGGTGGCCCCCGGGCTGCTGCTCTTCTTTTAGTGTTGGGAGCTCAGCCAACGCAGGCCAACCCCAGTCAATGTCCACGGTGGGGAAAGGGCAAGTTGCCGCTGCTGCAGAAGCGGTTGCATCCTGCATCTCATCATGCAAGAAGCCTTTGTGCGAAGCAGAAGAGCAAGCAAATGCGTTTCCTGTGTTCACCGAAACATTATGGGAGGATACGTGACATCAGTCTACCACAGGTTTTCATACGAGCAAAATAAGATGTAAATGGACCCAAAGGGAAGCAGAGTTTTACAGCCAGCACTGTTACTCTCCAAACAACCATAGTTTACATACTGGAATTTTGAAACTTAGCGTTTCTGCTCCCAAGAGTCTTATAAGAGTGAGCATTCATATGTCCCATTTTAAAAGTACTTTGAACTTTATTTCAAAGGCTGTTTTAGGCAATCAGAATGAAATGGTTTCACATTTAGTTCAACTTAAATCAAGCTCTTGAAAATTAAGAAACATATCAGTTAGTGGCTGGTTAAAACAGAAAAACATCAAACAAACCATCAAATTTCTGAAAAAACATAGTGTGAAATCAACACAAAAGAATTTTCCAGAAAGGAAAAGTCACAGTATGGATAAAGATGAAGATAGAAGTAGGCAAAGTCTTTTCATAACATGAACGGTATGACCACCAAACTAGGAGAATCGTTCTACTTTTTATCAAGCCATATTAATTCCTGCTTCAAATGTAAGGGCAAAATGTCTCAGAAAAGGAGAATAAACATTTCCAGGACAATTCAGAAATTGAAGGTAAGAACTTTGAAGAAGTAAAAACAAGTTCTCCATGTCCCGGCGTCCCGACTGGTAAGAAGCTGCGCTCAGAATCTTCTCTATGTGCTGTGGACAAGCCTGCAAGTCCCTCAGGGTCTCCCGGTTTCTACTAAACGAAGCACTGCTGACTTTCCTCCTTGTCCCACTGAAGGCGTACAAGCTTTAGTAGGGGGTTACGTGGGTGGACTTGTCTCCAAATTAAAATGGGATTCAGTCAAAAGGATCAATCTGAAGAACAGGAAGAGGCGATTAACCCTGAGCAGTCTGTTAGCAAAAACAAAAAAGCAGAGGAGAAATAGCATCTGTCTCTTCAGTGAGAAAAGATTGCAAGGGGCAGTACAGTAGTCCCCCAATATCTGTGGAGAATATGTTCCAAGCCCGCAGTGGATGACCACGGGTCACTGAAACCACAGAAAGAGACATCGAGGATAAGCGGGGACTACTGTCTTGATGACCAAACTTGGGCGTTAGGTCAAGCACTGAGGACACCTGATTCAAAGCTCTGCATTAACAGGGTTGAAGAACTTGACTTTTCATCTTCCAGAACTTCCTGAAGGAAAAGGAGTGGCTTCCAAGGAAAGAATTACTCCATATTTATTATGACTGAGACAAATTAAGGATGGCACTCTTCAGGCTGCAGTGACAGAAATTTTGGCCTTAATTGGCTATGCAAATCCAGCGAAAGGAAGAGGTATCTGAATTCTCACAATTGATGACGGAGGAGCGAGGGATGCAGTTGCTCTTCAGATATGGTGAAAGTCAGTTCAACGCACTCGAAAGCCAGCTGTCAGCTCTTTGATTGCATTTCTGGTGTAAGCACAGGTGCCATATTAGCTTTCATGTTGGGATTGTTTCATATGCCCCTGGACAAACATGAGGCAGTTATTATAAATTAGGATCACATGTGTTTTCACAAAATATTGCTGTTGGAATGGTCAAAATGAGCTGGAGCCATGCATTTTATGACCGTCAAATGTGGGGAATTTTCTTAAGGATAGAATGGGATATGCACTCATGATTGAAACAGCAAGAAGTCCATATGTCCAAAGGTAGCAGCATCAAGTCCCATGGTATAAAGTGGGGTAATGCCAAAAGTTTGCAGGTTCAGAAACTATGCTCACCCTCCTGAAGTCAACTCTCACTGTTTGGGAGGCTGTCAGTATAAACTGTGGCAGGCCACTAGAGCTCCACCTGCTGCTTCAGGCTACTGTGCAGAGTGTGCTTTTGGGAAACGATCCCCATCAAGATGGAGGTTTTCTTCTGAATAACCTTTCAGCATTAGCAATGCATGAGTGTAAGTGTTGGCCAGACGTCCCATTAGAGTGCATAGCATCCCTGGGCATTGGATGTTATGAGTATATGAGAAGCACCATGATATACATGAGCTTGAAAACCACACAGCCTAATGTCATCAACAGTGCTACAGATATAGAAGTCCATGTAATACTCGATAACCTATTACCTCCTGACACTTATTTCAGATTCAGTCCTGTATTGTGTGAAAACATATCTCTAGATGAAAGTCTAAATGAAAAACTTTATCAGATGCAGTTGGAACGGTTGAAGTACATAGAAAGCAATGAAGAAAAGTGAAAAATATTGCAAAGAATGTTGAAAAAATACTGAATCAAGAAAAAAACAATTCTACAGAAAATTAATCATTGGACAAACCTAAAAACTGACCTTCCATTCTTTTCAAAATTGTGATGAATGTATGCATATATTCTCAAAAATGAAACTTGTTCAGGAGACCCACCAAATTTAATAAAGAATTGAGGGTCAGCATGAGTTAACTTTGAAATACTCATGAATTCTGAGGATTCCTGACAAATACAGTGCTTGGACCATTTTGCACAGCACAGAAGGTATTTTTGGTGACAGAATTCATATGGGAATTAGGTTTTTATGACATTAGCAATTAACTAAGCTTTAAGAATCTTAATATTGTGCTAGTTGGTTCTAGCAGATATTGGTATTATATTGTTTAATGTTTGAAAATTTATTAATATATGTGCCAAACAAGAAACTGAAAACCATCATATTATACTTTATATTCTCACTTTAGTCACCATAATCATGTTGAATTTATTTAATCATTGATTTGATTTCATTTGGAAAAGCTAATTTCTTCTTAAATTTACATTACTTACATTTTCACTCACTACATTCTGCAATCCAAATGCTGCCTTTTATTGTAATATCATCTACACGGATGAAGAAAAATGGAATTTTCTTTATCAAAGGACTATTACATTTGAAATATAAAAGAACCAGATATAATTGTCTACTCAAAATTTGCTTATTTCAATATTGTTTAATTAAAAAACATAGGTGAAATTCCAATCAACCACTTTTTTCCCTTGAAACTTCAAGATAATCCTCTGTGTTAATTTTGCTAAATGTAGCTTCAATTTCTCTTTCACTGGCATAAAATCAGTTATTTGAATTCACTTAAAAATATTCTTATCATTAGCAAAATTAAACTATTAAAATTTAAAACAACTAAGCTTAACTCAATCCATTAATTCTTATAAGACATATGGCCCACCCTTGGGTCTGCACAGTGTTCCCTCCTCTGATCAAAACTTGATCGCAAAGAAGTTTCTGATAAACTCACTTATCAAGCAATATGAAAGATGGTAAAAGCTTATGTACTGTGTTTTAAAAGGAAGAAATAGAAGAATTTCCAGTTGTGAGATTTAAGTTCTCATCAGAATATTAGGGGAATATTGTAGAAATCTGGAAGCTCTTTTTGGTAACATTAAAATAAAACTGTATGGGAAAACTTTATTCGGTGCCCTCACCAATCCCTGCTTCCTCACCTGTATTATTTCAGATGGATAATTAACATTGCCCAGCTTACGTAGACTGCTAGTAACCACATCTGAGTCAAGCCTTTCCCACTACCAGATTGGCACCAATGGGCCTCACTTATCTAGACATTTTCAAGTCCTGTGGCAATCTGCTCCCAGCCTGTGGTCCATGAAAGTGATCCTATGAAATCTCAAAATGTCGTTCACTTTCATAATGAATATATCTCAAGTGTATCCAGACTCAGAAATAATCAACTATTCCTGCCCTCATTTTTATGAAGAGATGCTATGAGTTAGCCTAAGTGTCATTTAGAATTTTTTTTGTTTACAGCTTTTAGGTAAAATTTGCACAGAGTGAAATGCAACAATCTTAACTGTACAATTCAATGACTTTTGACAAGTGCATTTACCATGTAACCCATGTCTCTGTCAAGGTATAGATTATAGACCATTTCCTTAAGCTTAGAAATTCCCTCAAACCTCTGTGGGGTGGATTCTGTCATCCCGTACCTCACCTTCAGGCAACAGTTTTGCCTGTTCTGGGATTTTATGCAGATGAATCATACAAGAAGTATTCTTTTGTGCTCAGCTTCTTTATCTCAGTATAATATCTCCCTGTGAGATTCAACCTCGCTGTGGTATACTTCAATAATTTATTACTTTTTAATGGTAAGTAGGATTCAATCATATGAACATATTACAATTTGTTTATCCATTCATCAGTTAATAGATATTTATATCATTTCCTTTTTTTGGCTATTATGAATAAGGCTGTAATGAATGTTCTTGTTCAGGTCTTTTTGTGAATATATATTTTCATTTCTTTTGAGTGAACACTTAGTGAAATTATGGATCATAGGGTAAAATATAGACCCATTGGAAAGGAGAAAAGCATCTGACTCAAAGGTTTTTATGTTATTTTAGCAGATGTCCACTGCCCACTCTCAACAAGAAGACCCAAATAAACCCTACTGGATTCTGCGGTTGGTCACTGAACACGGTGAAGCAGATTCTTTTGAAGTGAAAAAAGATACCGAACGAGCAGATGAAATCCGAGCCATGAAGCAAGCCTGGGAGTCGGCTGAGCCAGGAAGAGCAATCAAGGTCACCTGAGTTTGAAAAGCTGGTCTTTTACTTTCCATTCCTAGGCATGGTCCGAAGGAAGAGCCATGTTGGTGAAACCACACAGTCTCTCCTTTAGCACTGGTGTCTGGAACTGTGTCAGACGTTGACTAACTAAACGTTAAGACCACACTTGGACACATTGCGAAATGTCGCCCTCCTCAGACCCAGATGACTTTCAGAGCAAAACACGTAACGGTGCCACTAATCAGCCCGAAGTGTGGGCTACCTCATTCCTCCACATAGTGTGGGCCATGTCCATGCCTGTGTAAGAGTCTCTTACGTTCCCAGTAAGAGAGCACAAGAATGTATAATAGGTGCCTTCACATGCTTCAAAAAGGCTTAGATGAAAAGCATATGCTTCCTCTTGTGGAACATACATACCTCGTCTCCCTGCCCCTATATTTTATATAAGGATCATTGCCTTGGTAAAACATTATTGCTTACAGGTGTATCATATCCCAACCCAGGGTTATCGAGGCAGATGAAAAACGTTCAGGAGCAGCTGGATCTAAGATATCAGGCCCAGTGTATTAGTCTTAGGACTGCTTCTTCACTAATTCTCAAAATAACTGTCAAAATAATGGATGGTTCAGAATCTGAGTTTATCTGACGATTAATAAGAGCTAGGCTCGTTCATACTGCCCTATTCACTCACATTTTCCTGTTTGGGTTTGTTTTTTGAGTCCTGTTAAGATGTTGTTGCCTCTACTGTTTCTTGATAGTATTTGTTCTTCAGGCTTCTCAGGCTCGTCTGCATTACCTCAGCCGGATATTTAAGAAAATTCCTGATTTTGAGAGCATGCCTGTGTGTGAAAGTCAAACCAGAGCAGGGGAAGAAGGTCAGTGGAGTCTGCCCAGCTGCCTTGGAGCACAGAGCTGTTCCGTGCACCTCTTAGAAGATAGTCAACAAGTCATGCTTGGTAAAAAGAACACATTTCAGAATCTACTTTTTTGCAGGATTATAAAAAGTCACATACAGGGGCCAGCCCCGTGGGCAAGTGGTTAATTTCACATGCTCCGCTTCAGGCGGCCCAGTGTTTCGTTGGTTCGAATCCTGGGCGCGGACATGGCACCACTCATCCAGCCACGTTGAGGCCGCGTCCCACATGCCACAACTAGAAGGACCCACAACTAAGAATATACAACTATGCACTGGGGGGCTTTGGGGAGAAAAAGGAAAAAAATAAAATCTTTAAAAAAAAAAGTCGCATACAATCCTGTAAGACAATAGATTCTGAAACGTGTTCTTCTTATCAGGCAGATGTTTACTTTTTCCCCAAGTAGATAAGATTTTCCTCACTTAAGAAAAAAATGAAACCAGAAATAAGAATGCGTCCTACTTAGGACTTGTGAACTTGAAGGCAGGCCTACTACTGGGAATCTGGTGCCTTTCTAATAACAATAACAATAAATAATAGCGATAAGAATCATAGTAATAAAGCTAACTACTTTTATTGAGTGATTGCCGTGGGCCTGGAATTGTGAAATACCAATTATTTCATTCAATACTCCCATCACCCCACTGATATATACTATTATTTCCAGCTTACCAGTAAGGACACAGGCACATAGTAGTTTCCTCAGTAATTTGCTAAACTCCAAAGATGCCCAGACAGAGCTAGCATGCCATCAAAGGTCTCCACCACCCCGGTGTCTTCTCACAATTGTGTGGCTGCCTCCATCTCTCGCCATGCTGGGCTATCCTGGGAGGCTGAAGACATTCACATCCCAAATCATGCTTCTCTACTTTGACATCTTCAGGAGTGTAACTCAGTAATTGTTATAAAAATCTTGTCCCTTAACTTTTTATATGAAGAGTACAAACAACAATTGTCGCCCTAATCCTGTGATCCTGGGATGGGCACTGTTCAAAGTGCGTTATGTTTGTTCTCTCACTTTAACCCACAGCAATTATAAGGTAGACGTTACTATTCGCATTTTACAGATAAGGGGAGCAAAGCTCAGAGAATCACCTTACTCTTCCTAAGTCATACATTTAAATAGTGACAAAGTTGGGATCTGAAATACTCCCAACTCCTAAAATCCTAAAGCCCTCACTCCTCTAACAGAAAGAGTCTAATGTAATGTTAGGAAGACAAAGGCAAATAGAAGATAGTTCTTGTCCTTTAGGATTAAGATTCTATGACTGTTTTTAGAAACGTTATATTAAGTTGTATTTAAAAGAGAAACTATTGCGTAGACACTTGTTAAGAAGGGCAAGAAGACTTTATTCCAGATTTTAGCAATAGGAGTCAAGATGGTTGCAATAAGGAGATTGAACTCACCTCTGAATACACAGGGACCAGTGGGGGGTGATAGCCAATAGGCAGGGAGAGGGAGGGGCTAGGAAATCACTCAGAGGAACGTGGTTAGGCTTCGAGGCTCAGGGAAGAGGAGCTTGACTGGATATCAAGAGTGGGGGAGTTTTCTGTAAACTGGTTTAGCAGGGTTCTTTGCTAAAACCCAGATTCTTTGCAAGCCAAGGATGAGGCCTGATGGAGAAGAGGGCTCAGAGGAGCCTGAACTTGTCCTACAACATACATGCAATAAAGGCACAAATCTCAATTCCACAGCGTGAGGAGTTTTGACATACGTGTACACTCAGGAGCCACTATTCAGATCAAGATATAAAACAGTTAACACATCCCGAAAGTCCACCTCCTTCCCCTTCTCAGCCATTTCCTTCCTCGGCATGACTTCTAGCCTGACCTCTATCACCATGAATTAATTTTGCCTTTCTTGAATAAGTTGTGTTTTACAAGAAATTTGTCTATTTTACATAAGTTAAACTTCCTGGAATACATTTTGTTTTAACCTCTTTTTTTCTCGATCAGTCCTTCTCTAGGGGTGCATTAATTTTAATTATATATTTAGATTTGTGTGTGTGTGTGTGTGTGTGTGTGTGTGTGAGGAAGATCCGTGGCAATCTTCTGTGGCAATCTTCCTCTAGTGTATTTGGGATGCTGCCTCAGCGTGGCTTGACAAGTGGTGGTAGGTCCAGACCCGCGAACCCCAGGCCACCAAACCAGAGCACGCGAACTTAACCACTATGCTGCCAGCGGGCTGCCCCCAATTTTAATAATATTTTTAAAGAACCAACTTTCAACTTCTGAATGTCTGTCTTTCATTTCAAGATTTCCCTATGCCCTTAAGTGTTAACCTATCAGTACCTTTCATTCAAAGCAGAATATTGCACCAATTAAATCATCTGCAATTGATAAATAGGGGAAAGTGTCTGTATAATGTGGAAGCTGTGGTCAGTTTTGTGCAGTTTCTTGTAGGCATAAGGATCTGGAACATTGGGAATAGAATTATAATGTTAAGAAAATATCTTGCAGCTTTGCAATTTTATAAGCATGAGCCCTTTGCAGGTCTATTTTAAGACAATTTTAGACAAGTGCCTACACACAGGGCTCCCTTCCCAGAGAGCAGAACCCCATCCACGCATAGTTCTCACATGGGGAAGGTTGCCCTTCCTCCAGGGGGCCCCTAACAGCAGCCCAATGGTTCAGAGATGCCATTTCCATTTGTAACGTCTCCCCTCCAAAAAGCCTGTATTTTTATGTGATGTTTTCATAACCTGAGGCAGCTTCCAGACACAGTGGATGCCTGGGCCAGCCATGTCATCTTCTGAGGTACCAATGATGGTTTTTGCTTTGGTTAGAAGTTGCAAAGCTTTTGAGTCTTCTGCTCCAAATCTGTGCTCCCATAAGCTTTGTTATTTTTTGCATTTGATTTCACCAAATGCAAATTTTTTCCGTAACGCACATGTCATGTCGTGGTAGAAACATCTGCAGGTGCCACAAAAGAGCCAGAGGCAAAGTATTCCTTGAATTCGGAGGCAAAAGAGAGCACAGCATTAGGGAGTATGCTATGGAAGAAGTGGCAACTAACCACGGGCTTGAAGGATCTGGCAAAATCGATGAACACTGAAAGTGGAGGAGGGTTTCCAGGAGGGAAGGAGGAGCGAGAGCAGAGCCAGCGGAAGGAAAACATGGGTAAGTATTGCTCTTGTTGGTAAGATCAATGCATATTTTGAAATAAAAATCCTAGAAGATACTAACTTAGACATACGTGATGGCTAGGGTTCTAACATAGAAAAATACGTGTTTTCTATTCATGCGTCTTGATTTTCCTCATCAGAGTTGATAATCAGCTCAAGGATCTAATTATTAAATACTGATAAAAGTATTCATAAGAGTGGGCCAAAAAAAGTATCAGGTATATTTTTGTATACTTTTCTGAGTCTGCAAATGCTGAAAATAAAATTGCAGTGATCACATATACAGAGATTCAGAGTAAATGTGTATACGTTTATTCACACACAGTATATGTATTTCACTATTCATGCATATTCACTAAACATAGACCGGTTTTGTTATGTCTATAGTATGCTGCCTGATAGATTTTCTTTTTCCTTTTTATAACAAATTTTAAATATTTGGTTTCTAAAATGTTGGAAGAAAGCAATTTTCAGTGGTGTACAAGCCTCATTGACTTGGTTCATTTCTGTATAGTAATAGATTCATATTTACTCGCTGAAATGAACCTAAATCCTCAACGGAAGGTGTTACAGAGAAATGTCTTTCGTTATTCCCGGCCTTCATGAGGAAGGATTTTCCCTAAGAAACTCTTGGACTTTCTGTCCCCAAGGGGGCTAAGTGGCTTATCTGATTGATGCATTTGGAAAGAATAAATCGGGCTGCCCGTGGGTCGCCTGACTCCACTGCTGGTCTCTGAGTTGGAAGCGCTCCCTATGGCTGAGGGAGGCGGAAGGGGTCGGCCAGTTCTGGGGTTCTGTGATCTTGATTCATTTGCCTCTCACTTCAAGCTACATCCTCCGGTTATACCTATGTCGGTAATAAAATCTTACTCTTTCTTTCTCTACTTGTTCAGAACCCAGGCAGGAAAGAAAGCTATCTTGGAAAGAAGCATCCTCAGAAACGCCAACAATGGTTCTTCTCTCAAAGTTGCTAAACCAGTCTGAGAACTTTCCAATTAACAACTGTTTATGGGGACGTGCCAGGTGGTGTAGTGGTTAAGTTTGCATGCTCCACTTCAGTGGCCCAGGGTTCCCAGGTTTGGATCCCGGGTGCAGACCTACACACTGCTCATTATCCCATGCTGGGGTGGCATCTCATATACAAAGTAGAAGATTGGCACAGATGTTTGCTCAGGGGCAATCTTACTCAAGCAAAAAGAGGAAAATTGGCAACAGATGTTAGCTGAGGACGAATCTTCCTCACTAAAAAAAAAACAAAACCTATTTAGGGCTCAAATATGTCTTCACATGTCTTTAAGTGAGTTCCATAGTGAAGAGGAAAATCCCAAAATTCAAAGGGCTCTCTTACTCTACTAACAAGAGATTCTGATATTTTTGAACCAATAGTTTGAAAGTAAGCACTCATTTCATAATAATGCACATGACAGTAGCACTAAAACGTATTAGAATAATACTTATAATTTTGTATTAATATTTTACTGGTAGAGTGCTTTGGCATATATTATCTCACTTGAACCTCTATGAACTAGAAAAAGCATATACTGCTCTCTCTGCCTCAAAAACGAAGGAATTGATAAATGACCCACCTAATGGCAGGAAGCTGAAACATTTTGGATAGAATCAAGACAAATTTCACTTCTTTTGACTCCACACATTGGAATTTCTTATCAAACACAAACTTTCTCCCACGCTTAGTTAAAGATCTGTAAATGAAAATATAATTAAATTGTGCTATGAAATTGTTTATTTATTTGCTAACAAGGTCACCTTTATGTTGAGAAAGTTGAATGTAATCACGATTCTTCACACCAGCCTCGGATAGCACGTCACCGCCATCATGGTGTAGCCGTCATTTTTTCCCAGAGCCCCAGACCAGTGTTGTGAGGGTCTGAGGCCTGTGCTTCCGCGTCAGCTCTCCTGTTCCTCATTTCTTCACACCTTTGGCCATCCGAGTCTTCAGACATCTGCAGTGGAGTTCACATAACTGTAAAAGAGTGTGCTTTTGGGTGGGAAGGAGAGGGCAGGAAGCAGGGAGGAAAGGGAAGAGCGAGCGGGAATGGAGTACCTAGGCCAACTTCAAAACATTCTTAAATGTGTTTTATTGTAACTTTAATTTAATATAAAATGATAAGTTGAATTATGCACCATCAAGAAAAATTGACTCCCCCTCTTTCCAAGAAGGGGTGTGCTGTTGCGTGGTTCCAGGACATCCTATAGCACTGAAACCCTGCCATGTGCCCCAGGATTACAGTCATAGGAGGAGTCCTGCTTGAGAACCATGAGTCCAGTTGTCTAGTTGTGCTCTGCAATTCCATGTGTTGCTCCCACCTCTGCTGTTGGTCCACCACAAATTGGTCCTCATTCCTGGAGAAGCATCTCCCATAGGAGATTATAGACCCTGTGAGAGCTTTACGTGGTCTGATCTCCACGTTGTCATAGATGTTTGTGACTCCTCCAAAGCTACCTTATTCTTGCTACTTCCCATTTTCATATAGTAGGTAACTTACAACAACTTTCCTCATAATGCCAGAGGACATATAAATAACACCATTATGGATTTTACTCCTAAACATTCTTCCTCAACATCAAGCCATCATCAAGGTCAAGGGTCCAAACATTACTTTCAACTTCCCCGTTTTTTTTGGAGGCCTCTAGAAAGTGTCTCTTCCAGAGGTTACAGGTGATCTTTGTTTTTGTTTCCAATTTCTTTTCCCCAGGCTTCATAGTCAGTTAAACTATTATTCACTATGTTTTTTAAACAGCAGTTCTCACACTATCCGCAAGGAAGGAAGTTTTCTTCTCTAGTCTGTTGCAAACTGAAATTTTTGTAAATATAGTAAAATGACCCAGTGCGTGACCAACTGCTATAAGAATATTTCTAAATGCATCCTCTCACTTTCATAGCTTATCCCACAGAGGACAAGTCTGCTGTTGGAGGATGGTCCACACACACACACACACACACACACACACACATATGCTTTGAGCTGCACCGTTCCAGAAATCCGAGACCTTCATGCTACACTCACACTGTATTCTGATACAACAAGGTTTTGTAGATAAACATGAAGATTAACTTTCTCTACCTCTTTCCCACCCTCTGTTTAAATATATATTATTTGGCAAGATATAAGAAAACACAAACATCTAATTAATCATAAAACATTTTCTTTCCAGTTAGAGTCAGCAGAATTGGTGTCTTATAGAAACAATTCAAGTTTGAAATGCCAGAAATATACCCAACAAAAGTAGATATGTTTGTGAGAAAAGCAAATTAACTTTAGAAATTTGAGATCCCATGGTAACCATGATGAAAAAAGAAAAGTTATTGGCCACTTGTTTCTAGAAGAGTCATATTATAAAATGTCAGTACCTCAGGAATGTTTTATTGAATGTGATAAAATGAAAAACAATAGAATTCATTTTTTTTTTTGAGGAAGATTAGCCCTGAGCTAACTACTGCCAATCTTCCTTTTTTGTTGAGGAAGACTGGCCCTCAGCTAACATCCATGCCCATCTTCCTCTACTTTATATGTGGGATGCCTACCACAGCATGGTGTGCCAAGTGGTGTCATGTCCGCACCCGGGATCTGAACTGGCAAACCCTGGGCCACCGAGAAGCAGAACGCGTGAACTTAACCGCTGTGCCAATGGGCCGGCCCCTAGAATTCATGTTTTAATGATGGAGCAGAGTTGGAATTTGTATTACTATATTCTGTTTATTCACGTATATCATGACTTCATGTATTTTTGAAAAAACGAAAAATTAATTTGGATGTTATTGCTTTCTATGTTTTTTTAAAGGCCTACATCAGGTTATATTTCTGAATGAATGATCACCTTTAGCAAGTTGCTGTAAACTAAGCACTTTACAACATTGCCGAGGCTGTTAGAACCACCTGTGCAAAGCAGGAGTGAATACTAGTCAGGGTGGGATGGGGCATCTTGCATGGCAGAGTGATAACCTGGCATTTCCTCTCCCGAAAAAGCAATGATAAACTGGAAAAAAAATGAGTAAGAAAATTTCAAAGCTCTGAAAGGATACAATTAAATGAAAAATATTTGTCAAAAATAAGAACAACAAAAACAAATGAACTCAATTGTATCAGCTTCCTGTTGCTGCTCTAACAAATAAGCACACACTTAGTCACTTAAAACAGCACACATTTCTTACAATTCTGGAGGGCAGAAATTCTCAAATTAAGGTGTTGGCAGGGCTGCGCTCCTCTCAAGGCCACGGCAGAGCATCTTCAAATCTTTCTGTCTCTTAGTCTCTCTTTCGCTCCCTCCATCTCTCTTTCCTCTGCGCCCATCACCTCATCTCCTTCCTGGATCCTTTCTTTTCTACCTGCCTTTTTTTCCCTTATGTGTTCTTGTGATTACATTGAGCCCAGCTGAATAATCCACAATCACCTTCTCATCTCAAGATCCTTAACTTGATTGCATCTGCAAAGTCCTTGTAAGGATGGACTGTGGACGTATTTACAAGGATGGACATATTTATAGGTTTCAGAGCTTAGGATGTAAGACATCTTTAGAGGTCCATTAGGCAGTCTACAACAGCTGGTAAGGACAGCAAGGATCTAAGTGTTTAACATGAGGTTCTCTCATCAACCCGAGGTCTGTAGCATACTAGCCATGAGGAAGAGCAGCCTTGGCGCCAGTGCTGGGAGAGGTTTACCTGATTTGAGGCTCCATGGAAAAGTTCCATGCCCTCGGGCATTGTCGCAAATAATAGTGACCTTGGTTGCAAACAATGGAATGGCTAACGTCACAGCTGCCTGAGACTGGGATACTAGTCAGAGCAAGCAACAAATCAGTCAAAAATTGAACAGGGCGATCTTGGTAGCAAAACAGCCTAAGATCAAGAACAAGGCAAGATGTCCACTTTAACCACTTATATTCAACATTTTAATGGAGGTTCTGGCTAGTCAATCAAAAGATAAAAAAGAAAGAAAGAAAACACATCTATATCAGAAAGGAAGCAGTAAAACTCTGTTGTCAGACAAATTGATTCTATATACCGAAAATCCTAAGGAGTCAGGGGTAAAGAACCAAGAATATCATCTAGAACTAAGTGAGCTCAGTGAGATTACATGATACAAGATTAATATATAAAAATTACTCCTATTTCTACATATTATCAATGAGCAAGCAAAACATGAAAATAAGAAGACAACTTCATTCCCAAAAGCATCAATAATAAATGTATGGAAATAAAGTCAACAAAAGTGCAAGACTTGTATACTGGAAACTACAAACAGGACTGAAGGAAATTTTAAAATATCTAAATAAAGAGAGAGGCAGTCCATGCTTTTGACTAGAAGACTAAGTGTAGCGAGAGAGTAATTCTCCCAAAATTGATTTATAAATTCAGTGTAATCCCCATCAGAATTCTAGTAGACATTTTACAGAATTTGACAAGCTGACCTCAAAACTTATATGGAAATGCAAAAGACCAAGAATGAACAAAATAATTTTGATAAAGAACCAAGGGAGAAGATTTTTACTTTGTGATTTCAGAACTTATCATGAAGCTAACAACAATCAAAACACGATGATTTGGCAATTTCCTAGATGGTTAAATGTAATTTTACCGTTCCTGCTTACATGAAATGTCCAGGAAAGGCAAATCTATAGAGACATAAAATAGATTAATGGTGGCCTGGGGCTTGTGGTGGGAATGGAGAGTGACTAAAAGCACACAAGAGATTTGATGTAGATAGCGGAAATGTTTTGCAACTGGATTTTTGGTGCTGGTTGCACAACGCTGTAAATTTAAGCAGTGAATTAGACTTTTAAAATGGGTGAATTTCACGCTATTCTAATTATACTTAAAGAATTTCTTTTTTAAAAAAAGAGATTAAATGGTCTAGAAAGGCTGAGTGGTTAATATCTTAGACTCTAAGTCTCTTTCTTAAATCTGTTCTTGTGGGTTCATATGGGGCTACGGAGTAAAAAGCTCCCGCTAATTTGATTTTCAGTGCTTGCTTATCATATATAGCCCACTCCACTGGACTAAAAGTTTCTTGAAGGTAGGATACTGTGTCTTAAACACTTTTTCATTCCACCCCCATAGCCCCTAGTATATCTTTTCACTCTAGAATAAGCACTCTGAATACTGGCTCATTTAACCTACTTACAATGAAATTTTGTAACCTCAAGTACGACTTTTTCCATCTCTGTCTTCATTTAACTATAATTAGAGTAATATTTTGTTACTCATCTTATGGGGTTGATTCATTTTGTCTGTATTCATTTTGTCATCTCCTTCATTCTTCTCTAAGTACAGTAACACCAGCTAGAGGATAAATATGAAATATAATTATATTTTATTAAAGTCATATTAAAATCATATCAAATAAGGTAAGTCCAATCAACGGTTGTTGATTTTTTGAGGAAGGTTAGCCCTGAGCTAACATCTGCCCCCAATCCTCCTCTTTTTGCTGAGGAAGATTAGCCCTGAGCTGACATCTGTGCCCATCTTCCTCTGCTTTATATGCAGGAGACCTGCCACAGCATGGCTCGACAAGCTGTGTGTAGGTCTGTGCCCAGGATCCAAACTGGCAAACCCCAGGCCGCTGAAACAGAGTATGCCAACTTAACCACTACACCCCCGGGCTGGCCCCTCAATGGTTGTTTTTTAACAGAAAATATTTTTTTCAATTAAACTGAGATGTAACAGTCATTTCGTTAGTCATCGTTGATTCATTTTTGAAAGCCTAGGACTTATTTTTTAACAGGGCCTCATTTACGATCCCCAACTCTTTTGGAAATATCTCCTCAACTTATTCGAAAAGAGCTAGAATGTGTGGACTTAACTCAATATGTTCGGTAAGTTTTAATAAACATGATTAACACAGACATCTGTGTTCATGGAATTTTGGATACATTGCCAATATGCAGTTGCTAAACAACTAAAATTTGAAATTAAATGCTTAATATATTTTCAGTGTATCTACATTTTTAGAAGTGCATGATTTTACATCTCAAATTTAGCAAATGTTTTGTTAAATCAATCATAAAAGCATTTAAACGTTTTTTGCAAAGATTTAATTTGTAGCCTCATTAAGGTGAGTTGAATCATAGAAAATTCCCATCATACCTGCTGCTATTATTTATTGAGAGTCAGTTTTCTTAAGAACTAGACAATAAGATTAATAGAGAGAGATAGTTACTCAAGCATATTTGTAAGTTTGGAAACATTTTCAAAACTATTTACCTTCATCAATTAAAAAGGAAAACTTGCAAAATATTCTCATAGCTTCAAACACCGGTTCCACAAACACCACATCAGATGGCACATCTAATTTTACTGATATTTCCATAAAATAATTTCCTAAAATATCAATGATCCAATAAATGGAGCATAGCCCATCTAAAATTAATAGTTTATTCTTCCTATTCCTAATGTTTGGTTGGATTCAGTCCACCACACCGTTGGTATGATTTTAAATTATTTGAGTTCTAAAGTAAAGTTCATTTCAGAGTTCCCAAATGACTTATGTATCTCTCTGGATGTTTTCATATCAAGGAAAACAAATACTGAGCCTATGCTGCAAACAGAGGAACTAAACCAACAGGAAGCGATGCAAAAAGCAGAGGAGGTCCATCAGTTTCGAGAGTACAGGGCGAGAATCCTCAGCATTCGAGACATTGACCAGGAAGAACGAGTGAAGTCGAAGGATAAAGTCCTGGAGATGTATGGCGAGATGAGGGTGAGTCTAAAGTGCACGCCTGGACCACAGTTGACAAATTCTTTTTATAAAGATATCATAGAATCACACAGTAACCAAGTCAAAAGAAGTCTTGAAAACATTTAGTTCCCAACTTCTCAGAAAAGGTGGTAAATTGATTATACACATCTAATTTTACATACTCTCTGAAATCCCTCTAAAATGCAGTAGTGGGAATCTATCCACAAAATGGGAAGAAAGAGAGAGAAGACAACGACGAAATATTTGTGGAGCTGGAAAATAGCTGGATGAAGATTGCATTAACGGCCTTGAGGCAGCCAAATCCTGAGCTGGCAGTAGAAAAATTCTTAGGAATCAACCAAGTTTGCTCCACAGAATCCCCAAAAGGCTCCGAAATTGGTGGCACCACACATGTTAGGAAGTGAAGGTGAAGTGGGAAGAAGATAAAATCATTGGGTTGGTTTGGTTTGAAACTATTTAAGAAGCCGTTAGAATTGTGGATTGCCACCTCAACTTTTTGTAGCCAGGTGACTGTCACTCCTCCACCCCAGCAGAACATTAAAGGTGTTTTATTTAGACACAGCTCCCCCCCCCCCAAAAAAAAAGATTTCTGTAGTATGAAAGATCAAACAATTAAAATTGGACGTATTATACTAGAAATGGGGAAATTCAACGAATGTATAGGAATGACTTCCACTATAGAGAATGAAGATTTATTGTTTTTCCTCCCTGCCCCCTACAGCACCCACACACACATACACACACACTCCCAAAGACACTGAAGGCTAGAGGACTTTGCAAACATTTCAGCCACAGTGAGATTGGGTTCTCCACGTCCTTCCTAGGATTGGCTGATCTGTGGAATACGCCTATCTGACATCCTTTCTTGTTTGTCCAATAGGGACCTCAAACTGAAGCTATCCAAATCTGTATTCTATAAGTCTTGCCCGCCCTCTCATTTCAGCGCAAACATAACACTCCACCACTATTCTCCATCCTAGTAAATGACAATTGCATTTTCTCAGTTGCTCGAAGAGCAACTTCGGAGACATCCTTGACTTCCCTCACTCCTCACGTCTCATCTATTAATAAAACTTGTCAGCACTACCTTGAAAATAGATCCCAAATTCAAACCCTTTTCATTCTCTCTCTCCCTACCATCCTAGTCCAAACTGTCATTCTTTTCCATTCAGAGTGTTGCTACAGCCTCCTGACTTGTCTCACGGCTTCCCTCTCTCCTTTCTACAGAGCAGTCTCTGCTCAGCAGCCAAAATGATTGTGTCAGTCAGGAAAGACAGTTTTATCCTATTATCCAAATAGCCCCAATGTCTCAGTGGCCTAAGACAGGGGATGGCAAACTTGTTTTCTGTAAAGGGCCAGATAGTAAATAGTTGTGCCTTTGCAGGCCATATGGTCTCTTTGCAGGCCATATGGTACTTTGCGACCATATGTTGCATCTACCCAACTCATTAACTCATGGATAACTCATTGTCATTGTGTCATTGTTAACACAAAATCAGTCAAAGATAATACCTAAATGTGTTCCAATAAAACTTTATTTAGAAAAATAGGCAATGAGCCAGATTTGTTCCACAGACGTTAGTTTACCAACCCTTGGATTAAAACAAGAAGAGAGTATTTCCCCTCCTGGCTACATGTCCAGTGAGTTCAGTAGAGGGTCCTTCATTTGCATTGCATATTCACAGTTCATTGGCCAAAGCAAGTCACATGGTCACATACAGCTTCAGTGAGGGAATCAAGCTTGCTAACACCTGGATTTCAAACTTCTAGCATCAATAACTCTGAGATAATAAATTTCTGTTATTTAAGCACTCAGTTTGTGGCACTTCATTACGGCAGCCCAAGCAGGCCAATACAGAGTGCAATGCTACCATGTGGCTGGAGGAGAACTGGAAGTATTCTAGGATTTGCACTAATGGTTATCAAAGTACATCCTTAAAATGGAGGGTGGTGTCATTTCACTCCTCTGGTGGCTTCACATTTCACTAAGAAAAAAGCCAAAGTCTGTACTAGGACTCTACGTACCCTAGTGCCCACTTTCTTCTCCTTTCTTTTTCTCTACCATTCTACCCTCTTTTCTCCTTTTGTTTTTTCCAGACTGACTTTGCTCTTCCACCAACAGCCAGGCATGTTCCCACCTGTGGGTCTTGAACCTTGCTCTTCCTGCAACATCCTTCCTTTAGAGAGCCAAATGGTTTACAGCTTCACTTTATAATGTCTCTCATCTGTTGTCTCTCCATTAGAGAGATCATCTGTAGCTAGCCTTTGAAAATTAGCACCCTTCAAACTAATGAAAGCACTTATCCTGTATGTATATTCATTTATTGTTCTAACATGGAAATGTATATATATTAAATATACATACACTTTTAATCTATCTCCACCAGAATATAGACCATATGTGAACAGAACTTTGTTTCAATTCACAGTTGTATCCCCGGAACCTGGAAGGGATGTCTATTTCACAGAAATTTCTTTCATAAGAGATATAAACAAATATTAAAATTATATAGATTCATGGGTCTGGCCCTGTGGTGTAGTGGATAAGTTCCCCATACTCCACATGAGTGGCCCAGGGTTCACAGGTTTGGATCCCAAGAACAGACCTACACCACTCATCAGCCATGCTGTGGTGGCAACCCACATACAAAATAGAGGAAGATTGATACAGCTGTTAGCTCAGGGTTACTCTTCCTTAGCAAAAGAAAAAAAAAAAAGAATTACATAGACTCAATTCATCATGGAGAAAATAGTTTAAATTAAAATATTATAAGATAAAAGGGAATTTCAGGATTGCCAGTTATGTTTTCTGTGTTTAATAGACAAGCAAATGCAGTAGATGGGGAGGAGATAAGGAAGAAATATTAACTTGAATAGTTTTGAATTCAGATCCCATTCTTTAAGTGTGAGGGACAGAGAAGCACCCTAATTTTGACTGAAGCTACCTCAAGACAAACATGATTAGTCTTATGTTTCTTATCAACTAGAAGAAAACATAGCAATCCTCAAGGGATTGCTGACATGTGTTACACTTACTTTATGCTAAACCATTAAGATCTCTCTCTCTCTCTCTTTTTGCTTTTTAAATATGTTCCTGCTATCATCTTGCACTTGTGCAACTGGTTTAGTGAAACCGCTTTTATTGTGGTAGATACAGTATTCTTCTTCTGTCAAAAGCTTTGGTAAGTCTGATTCTGACATTCAGCTCTTCCACCATCTCAACCGAAGTCATGCAAATTGCAAAACCCTGGAAAATTTCATCAAGAATTCAGTGATGAAGACAAAACTGTCATGTCCAGAAGCTTCTCTTCCAGCATGGATTCATTAATTCTTATTTTTCATTATATCATTTTTGAAACAGAAGCAGTCAACAAATTAAACCATAATTGTGGCCATAGTGTCAGAAATGCACTGAAATTAGGAAGCCATGGCCTCTTAGTAAACGTGCGTGAGCACTTGGTAATCACTGCCTTATCTGTAAACATTTTTAGAGAAGCCATTTCATCATCCCTTTCTAGAGTGTTGCCTGGAACTGAAATTGTGTTCTTGCCTATAGTTTTGAAAATTATTCCTCTTTTTGAAAATGTGAACTCTATTTACCTGTGTACAATCTTCTGACACTTCCTATTTCCACAATTTATTCACTCAACATATATTTCTGGGCAGTTTCTACCAGACACTCTCCTAAAGCGTGAACAAAAGAGATAAACCCTTGCCTTTGGGAAGCTTACATTCTAGTAAGGAAATAGGTGCTAAAATACAAACGTGATACATAAATTCATTGTATAATATGAGAGAGAGGGGTAAGTGTTGAGAAAAAAGAAAAGTAGAACAGAATCAGAACACAGTGACTCAGAGGAGATACCAGCTGGAGCAAAGGCCCTAAGGCCGGAGCAGGCTTCATGTATCCCAGGAAGGACAGCAAGGAGGCATGTGCCATGGAGCAGAGTGAGCGAGGGGTAGAAGAGTGGGAGGAGGTCAGAGGGGAATTAAGGGAGGGGGATGAAGACGGTAATCATTAGGACTGTGAAGGCCACTGAGAGGACTTTAGCTTTATGCTGCGGGAAACATGGAACGATGACAGGGTTTTAAAGAGCAGAGGATTAACACGATCTGACATCTTTTAAAAGCATTGCTCTGGGTATCGTGTGAAGAAAAGATAAATGTAGGAGGCACGTAGAAGAGAGTTCTGTGAGGGGACTATTGCATTGAGCACGGGAGAGCTCACCGTGGATTCACGCCAGGCTGGTAGAGCAGAGGTGGTGAGAAGCAACTGAATTCTGGATATATTTTCAAAGTAGAGTCAACAGGATATCCTGATGGATTGTTGATGTATTATAAGAGACAGAGAAGGCTCAAGAAATGCTTTAAGTTTTTTGCCTAAATAACTGAAATGACTGAGTTGCCATCAAACCAGATGGTTTGGGAGGAAAGATAAAGATTTCAGTTTTTGACATTTTTTGATATGACGTGTCAAAATGGACATCTTTACATACCTATTAGACAGATGTGGAGATGTTAACTAGAACTTAGACATGTGATTCTGAGATTTGGGAGAGAGATCTTGGCTAGAGGTAAACAATTGGGGCACTCATCAGTGTGTAAATGAGATTTAAAGCCATAGGGTTAGATGAGATCACCAAGGAAGGAGGCCTAGGATCTGAGACGTGGCCACTTCCACCCTAAGAGATGGAGGAGAAAAGGAAAAGTCAGCAAAGGCTACTGATAAGAAGCAGATAGTGAAGTAGAAGAAAAATTGAGAGGGTGTGATGTCCAGCAAACCAAGTGAAGTCCGTCGATCTGGGAGGAGAGAGTATGCTTACATAAGAATTGGACCAAGAAGTGATCTTAGATTTAGCTCCATATAGGGTCATTGGTGTCCTTGATGAATGCAGTTTTTTTCAAGTGATGAGAGCAAAAGTCAAACTGACAACAAAGATATCCAATAGATTAGGTGATATTATTTAGAAGTTCTTGACGTGTAACTCAGATATATTTTGTCAGGGCTAGAATATGTGTGGGGAACTAGTAATTTATCGAGCACAGTCACTGAGAGAGACACACTGGGCTGCATATTTCATATAGATTATATTTAAACTCATTTAAAGCAGATTGTTAGTTTGCCCAAATCTCTGCCTATTTCTTTCTTCCCCTTTGTTTTCCTCTTCCTGATGCTTTTATTTGCCATTCTGTTAAAATCTCATTTACTCTTTGTTGCTTTCTCATGTCTTATGCATTGATAAACATTTGAGACCACAACCCGATTTTCATCTTTCTTCAATAATTTCCCGCATGAATCTATCGGCATAAGCAAAGGATAAAGGGATTGCTCTCTCCACCCACCCGCCCCCCGCCCTGAGACGTAAGTCTTTACTAGTGGGCCTTATTTGCTTGGGGTTTTGTTTTGGAATAGGACTCCTTAGACGAAGCCCGACATAAAATCTTCACCATCCGGGACGAGTATAGAAATAAGCTGCTGGAAGCTGAGCGCCTGAGGTTGGAGGCGCTGGCTGCGGAGGAAGCAGCGATGAAGGTGGAGCCGGAAAAGAAGATCCCAGCCCCTGACGCACAGAAAAAAAAGAAAGGAAAGAAAAAGTAGCCAGGAGTTGCTGAATACTACCTTTCTTCTTCCGAAGAAGACCCTACTTTTAATGATCAATAACTTCGCTCGTTGATAAGCTATTAGGCTAATTGAAAATAGAAGTTTTCCTACCCTAAAAATAATTTCTGCATTTTAATGTTAATTTGTTATTTTTTCTCAGAAAAGTATTATTTGAAGCCGAGTATAAATTTTTCTAATTTCAATAAAAATTGCCTCCAAATACTTAGATGTAATAAAATTTATATGACTTGCTTTGAATTGCTGCGTTTGTAATTAGTACTAAAACAAAATCATAATGGAGCCAACAGGATTGACTTTGAAAAAGTTAATAATGAGGAAAATAGCTATTGTTATTGGAGAAAATTTTGTCTCGAAAGACTTTAAAATATTAAAATATATGCTTCAGACCTGTGCCTTTTTTTTTTCTTTTAAGCTGAACTTCAGTAAACGTTCCTCATTGGGTAAGGAGTGTTGTGGGTTAAGCCCACCCAAGGCGTTAGAACTCTGAATCCTAACAAAGGGTCACAGTAACCCGGACATAAAGCGTGTGATCGCAAACACAGCCCTTCTCAAGTGTACCTGTGTCGTATTTTTTGTAAGAGAGAGAACATGTTCTTGTATGCCAGTTTTCAAAAACTGCAATGAGTGGATTAACTGAGGCACAGAGTAGGAAATTGACTTTTCCCAAAAGCACACTTCCAATTCAAAACTTTCTCAGGTGAAAACTCCCATAGTATGTTTCAACCAGTCAAAGCTGTTTCACTTTGATAGGTGATGTTCCTTTTTTTTCATTTATTTAAATCTCTATTATTAAAAAATTTGATTTTTTATGTATATGTAATTTTACTTATTAAATATGTAAACACATGCATTTTTTCCTTTATTACTCTTTGCCTGTACTTTCCTTCAAGATCCTGTGACCTCCCAGTAATACATGGTAACAACCTACTATGAATGTTTCCATATTTTTCACTGATCCTGTATAATCATACATCAATATTTTATATTACGTAATAGCTTGTTTTACAAAATTACATTTTATTACACATACTTTGCTGTATCTTGATTTTTCTCACCAAACAATACAAAATCTCTTCAAGTCACAAGCAATTCATTCTTTTTCATTGCTGCATAATATTCCATGGTGCAAATATATCCTAATTTATTTAGCTAATTCTCTATTGATGAATATTTACTTTGTTTCTAAACTTTGCCATATGAGCTATCCACTTGAAAATACATGGGTGTGTATCAGAATATTCAAATAGTAACATTGGTATTCTTTATTCTCTTCAAGTTAAATAAAATTCAGTTGCATATATCTTGTCCTTATAATTAAATCATAAATCTTTAATCATCAATCACTTCTGTCAAATCTTTCTTATTGCTGTCATTATTTGCTTGATTTTTTTCATTTTCTTTCCTCTTTTCTTCTTTTCTTGCTATACTGTTTCACTTCTCTGAGCTTTTCAGTTTTGACTTTCCCAAAGCTCTGATCATTTTGGTAATTTTTGGTGGCTTGTTTTGAATCATTATACTACATTTTTCTTCTGGTTAATGAACACTTCCCTGCTACATTCTCATTTTCTATCTGAATGTGATTTCTTCGTTGTCATCTCGTTATCTTTAGTAACTTGTATGGAGTTAGATTTTTCTCAATATTTAAAAAAGATTTGTTTTCATGAACTATGAGGAGGACAGATAGTATGAATAACTTTCCCAGGTTTATGGATGGAGGACTCCTTCTGTTGTAATCATCACACATTCTGTGTAACCACTTCTTTGTCTTTCAGAGTTAAGCCTGGTTTATGAAGCTTTTTGTTTTGTTTTGGTTTGGTTTTTGTCTCTATGCTTCTGATTCCTAGACTTCTATAAACCTTGGTTTCCAAGGCAGAAGTCTCATCTTTAGATATGGTACTTTGTTGCTACAGTACTCCAGAGCCCTCTCTTGTGCACTGCTGGCGGGAAAGTAAATTGGCTCAGTCACTGTGGAAAACAGTATGGAGGTTCCTCCAGAAATTAAAAATGGAGCTGCCATACGATCCAACAATACCACTTCTGAGTATATGTCCAAAGGAAATGAAATCTCTATCTTGAAGAGATATCTGCACCTCCATGTTCATTACAGCGTTATTCACAATAGCCAACATATGGAAACAATCTAAGTGTCCGTCAACAGATGGGCGGGTAAAGAAAATGTGAGAGAGAGATATATATACGAATAATATTCCATTGGAATACTATTCAGCTACAAAAAGAAGGAAATCCTTTCATTTGTAAAACACATGAACCTAGAGGTCATTATGCTATGTGAAAAAAGCCAGACACAGTAAGATCAATACTGCGTGATCTTACTTATATGTGGAATCTAAAATAATCAAACTCATAGAATCAGAGAGTATAACTGTGGTTATCAGACACGGGGCAGTGGGAGGGGGGTAGCGTGGGGAAAGGGGAGATGTTCATCAAAGAATACAAACTTTCAGTTGTAAGATGAATATGTTCTGGGGAATGTAATGTGCAGCATGATGACTAGAGTTAGTAATATCGTACTGTGTACTGGAAATTTGCTAAGAAAGTAAATCTTAAGTGTTTTCACCACACACCAAAAACAGCATGGTAACTATGTGAGGTGATGGATGCATTAATTAATTTGATTGTGGTCATCATTTCACAATGTATACCTATATTAAATCATCACGATATACATCCTATATGTATATAATTTTTTTCTATTATACCTTACTAAAGCTGCTAAAATACTAGTTGCAATGATAACTAAAAAAAAAAAAAAAGGTTACAGTGCATTCTGGACTTTATAATCTACAGAGAAGTAAAGTGTAGACAACAATCACCCAAAGGACAGGAAGTAGAGATGAAGATATACCAATGTAGCTTCTTAAATAATACATAAATTCCTAGAATATTATTTGAATGAAGGCTGTGAGAACTTCACGAAATATATTGTTAGTCTTAAACTTTTAGTAAAAAATGAAACAAAGATAATAAGTCATTAGTGAAATGAAACACTAAAAATAATTAATCCAAAAGTAGTTTAGAGAAAAGGGGAAAACAGCAAAGAAAACTGGTAAGAACAAAAAAGAGATAGCAAGATGGTAGAACTAACAAAGTATTTTCTAATAAAAAATAAATGTAGTGCCCAAACGTTAAAATAAGGGAAAAATAAAATCAAAGTATTTTGTAATGAGATACTTTGAATATCGGTCTATAAATGCTTGGAGTGACTGCCCTAGAAATGAAATACTTGGTACATAGAACACCAGGTACAATGCAGCAGAGAGAAGTGCAGCCTGATTTACAGGTGGTTTGTAATTGTGACTCAGATATTTGGAATGGGGTTGCCATGGGTGATACATTTTCCAAAATGGTGAACAACCCTTTTGGTAAATTTCCAAAGATAACAATGTTTAGTCTGCCCTTATTGTACATAATGGTTGCATTCCTGAAATATTCAGTGAACTTTAAAACTGTACAACAAATACTTTGGTTTGATATATCTTACCGAGTTAGGTTCTTGGATCATTAACTTGTTTTTAGACTACATGAACGATGGGCCATTCAAATCATAGAGGAGATAGATAGTTCTTTGTTGCATGTGACTCTTTCAAAACTTGGGGGGCATCTATCATCTTTGCCTTCAACCCATAAATAGCAATAGTTCTCTCCCATTTAGGAAGACCAAAATGCCACCAGGTATTTCCTAAATATTCTCTAGAGATGGCACTGTCCCCGCTGAGGTCATCATCTAGAAGAATAGTAATGATGGCTGAGAAGCTGAAGGTAGTACTGTCTGTGGACCACACTTATAAATACCTCTATTGGAATACATATCCATATAAATAGGCTCCCTCGTGTTGATTGAGTTAACCGGGGTATAGCTACAAAGCACATCACAGTTCCTACAATCCCCAGACCACTGTCTTTGGCAAAGTGCGTGGCCCACCATTCAGTTTCTTTCTCCTTAGTCTCCTACCATTACCTCTTTACATCCCCCTAAGTACTTCAAGGTCAATCCCTCCTTCTCAGGCCTCTTGCAAAAGCAGAGCAAACAGTTTTCCTCTTCTGCAGTCACAGGCCTGCCTCTGAGTCAATAACAATCCCCAGGGTGCAACTCGGGTGATAATGAAACATCATTATAAAGGCAATTTAATCCTCAGTGCCTCCAGCGCCTCCACTGGAGAACAGGGTTGTGGGTTTCCCTTTTGCAAAATCTAAGTATTCGCTAAAGTGTTTTTTGAAATGTAACAAAGGGCAGTCTTCATTAAATGAATCAAAAATTTGCTGACAACTTTGAGAAACTTTTAACCGGCTTTTAGAAATCAAGTTTTCAAAAACAAAAAACATCGATTTCTAGTCTCAGAGCCCCTCTGCTATATATAGATTATTTGCACACATAAAAAATGTTACATAATATTCTGATATGTTAACAGATACTTACTTTGTGTCTCTGTCTCATTCAAAAGAAACCTTAGCATCCACTGCCTCTTGGAAAAAGGGAAAATAGAGGGAGAAGAGGCAAGAAGAGTCATGTAGTAATGGAAGTTGCCTCAGAAGAGAAAGTATGTGCTCTACCACCCATAAACCCCGGCTTGGGCCATATCTCCAGTGGAACTGTTTACACTAGATTAAGGAAAATTTTTGGTGCCCTTCACAGAACATTTCTTTTTTTTTTTCTTTTAAAGATTGGCATCTGGGCTAACAACTGTTGCCAATCTTTTTTTTTTTTTTTTCTGCTTTATCTCCCCAAACCCCCCCCCCCCCCCCCGTACACAGTTGTATATCTTAATTGCAGGTCCTTCTAGTTGTGGGATGTGGGACACCGCCTCAACGTGGCCTGACGAGCGGTGCCATGTCCACGCCCAGGTTCTGAACCCTGGGCAGCCACATCGGAGCACGCAAACTTAACCACTCAGCCATGGAGCCGGCCCCCATAGAACATTTCTGAAATTAACATTATGAAGGAACTTCATTTCAAGCTGTTGTTAGAACATTTCTTTGTCCAATCAATTACAAAACAGATTTTATTCATCTTAACTTGAATAAAACAGTTTCCAAACATGGGTGGAATAGCTTTGTTACGTATTGTGCTCAGAACTTTAGGCTAAACATCCTTGTTTTTGGTGTGGGCCCAAAGGGCAGTGGGACCACACAGTACGATTTATTTTTTCAGCGAACGTATACAGAAAATCACTCTATCGTGTATGTATCAATTCAATCCATAACTTTAAACAAATCTAACTTTATTCGAATAAACCAAACACATTTAATACATTTTGTTAATTATAAAAATTCAATCATCTAATCTGTAAATCCCTTTCCCATCTGGTATATAATATCATGACACTTTATTTTCAGTGTCTATCAAACTGTTGATTTCAGAATCACC